TTATGTTTATCCGTAGTTAGTTACACGAATTCAAACATGGAGCTTTAATAAGTTGTACTTATGCATAATTTATTTGTAATCTTGAATTTTAAGTAATACATCAATAAACAGTACTTCATGCATAAAAAATGATTTTTAAGAGTTTTTGTCAAATGCTTTATAATATAGTATAAATATATGAAATAAAACGTGTGAGAATACATTGTTTATATAATCTTATTTCATATATATAAAAAACATTGAAGACTGTTTTTGTTCCACACATAAAACAGTTTTGAATGTTTCACATGTGAAACAATATTGTATAAATACTGCATTTTTACATGTATAATTGATTTATAAGTTTATATGATTTATTGGATTTGTATAAACACGCCTTTGAGTGAAATATATCCCCTTGGTTGTCGATAGCAGCATCAAAAGATAAAATCGTTATTCACGACCAAACCGAACTTGTATACATTTTTTTTATTAACCTGGATATCCAACCTGCTATGCAGCCGACTAATCCCAGGACAACCACCTGCTTTGTAGACAACCCGGAGTCACCGCATTTGAACCTCCGTAGCCACAAGAGGATTTTTATTCCTACTTGGATCTGAACATGAGACTTCTCGGTACTTTTGACCTTTGGAGTCAAGCTCAAACCAATCAGGCACCACCCTTGTGGTTAACTTGTATACATTTTCCTTCTTTTGTACACGAAAAGGACGATTCTCTTATTTTGAATAAACAAACACATGAATCAAACAATAGAATGTGGTTTTTTGAAGACAACGTGACCAGATTCATCCTTTTCAAATAAACTTTCAATCAAGTCATCCCAGGTAACTCCCGGCGTATGTTTCGTGGACGATTCACCGACGTAAAACGCCCCTTCGGAATCATGAAAGGTGCCATACTGAGACGGTAGAAAGGCATGAGGCACCGACAATTTAACGGCCCGTTTAAGCGCAGCTGCGTGCTCTTCTCCGTGTTCTTTCGCCAAACTTTGTTGTCTCTCCATCTTTTGCTCTGTAGGAATCTCCATGAGCGGATCTTTCTCCAACATCAACTATCATACAATAAAACTCGAACCTTAGTTTACCACACATCTAACAATGGCAAACTGTATCAAAATGAAATTAAGGGGCCGTTTACCAAACACTTACCCGGTAGGTGCTTACTGATAAATTCAACACTACCATTGACTTACTGGATAAGATTTTAGTCCACCAAAATGGTATCGTATGAAACAATTTACCCGGTAAGCGCTTACCGTGGTAAGAGTCGTCACCTTCACTTACCGGGTAAGACTCTTGGTCCTTGACTCGCTCTTACCGGGTAAGATTTTTGATCCTTACCATTTTCATCCGGTAAGGTAAGATAACTTGGTGTTCACTTACCCGAGTAAGCGTTTGGTAAACGGCCCTAACTTTATCTTGCGTTCTTACTCTGTGAAACCACTTTCGGAACTTTTCATTTTTTGGAATCAAAATGGCACCAACTTTACTTTCTTTCATATTTTGGAGAATATGAATTTGGCCACCAGCCCAACAGTCCCTTAAAAGTTTGGTTCCTTAAAAATAGAAGTGTTAACAATTGGTTTCACAAAATAATAATGGAAAAAAAAAATTAGTTCCATTTTGATGCAATTTTCCCTTGAATATGCCATTGAAAGTGATATAACTCTATTTGGCAAGTTTTCATGTCGAACTTGACATATTTATCCATAGTCATTTTTAACGATAAGTTGATGGTATTGATTTAAATCTGCAATATATTTTAGATTTTTATTGTTCCAAAATCACACGTCTTATCCTTGTCCAAATGAAATTAAGACACATCAGATTTTTATATATTTTAAGATTTATTTTATTCAAGTTCACATTCTTTATAGATGATGAGTGTTCATCAAATTGGTAAGAGGAATGAGACATGAGAATTTGAAACAAAATATTTTTATCCTATTTAAGGTATTTTAGATACTTAATACAAGTTCTTCATTAAAAAAAAGAATTAACCACAAGGGTGGTGCCTGATTGGTTTGAGCTTGGCCTCAAAGGTCAAAAGTACCAGGAGGCTCCAAGTTCAAATCCAAGGAGGAATAAAAATCCCCTTGTGGCCACGGAGGTTCAAATGCGGTGACTCCGGGCTATCTGCAAAGCAGGTGGTTGCCCTTGAACTAGTCGACTCGCATAGCGGGTTGAATATCCAGGTTAATAAAAAAAAGATTTGCAAATTTCATTGGACATCTTTAAATAGAAAGGTGTTGCAATTTTATATGACAAAAGAAAATATTTGATAAAAAAAATACTAAATATAGATTTTTCAAACTATAAGCCAAGTCAAACATTTCATATTTTATATATGGAGTATGAGATTTAGATTGAATACCAAAATAAGAAAGAACAATAACAGAAAACTTACATCCAAAGCCCTTTTGGCTTCCCTTTCTATCCAAATGATGGCATGATCTGAAATAGCATTGCAAGAAAGAACTATGTGCTCAAATCTCCCATCTACAGGGACTGCTGTCTTTACAACTGGTGGAAACCTACCACATCTGCAACCATAATCAGCACAAGAAATGTTCAAAAAGCCCTATCATTTACAGAAACATGACATAAACTGGATGTCCCTTTGCTAGTTTTGAAAGCATGTGGCATTTCATATGCATCAGTTCAAGAAAGTATGAACTTTCTAACCAAAAACACAACCCAAGTTTATAATGGCAATAAGAATTGACGAATGAAAAATAGAAAATAGAATTGATCAAAAACCAACTCAGGGATCCAAGATTTGTGTTATTTTATTGTTATAACTCAAGGAATTGAGGACTTCAATTTGTACCCTATCCCATCACATGTAGGAATCTACCAAAATAACCAATAGGAGTTGCAAAAACAGGTGCATAGACGTTAGGGGAGTAAATGGTCGATAGTTTATATTACAAAGATTGATAAGGGTGATCAAACCTAGTCTGGTTTTGCAAGCGATATCTTAATGGTCATGAGTCTGAATCTTACACTAAGGAATGACCAACGAGTTTGGAGGAGTGCGTCAATGACAAGCGATGGATTTCTTGTGTCTTTCTAACAAAATATGGCTTTACTACTAGTTGTAAGGTAACCACCCTATAAAGTATGGATATTGATTAATCTATCCTTCTAATTTCTTGATGATGGAATGGGGCCAAAAGCAGATTAAGTTTCAACTTCAATGCCAGTGTAAATTCTTTAAATTTTTTTCAGATAAACATATAGAACATTAGGGGTGCTAAGTTCAATAGCAAATACGGTTTCAAACTTGAATTTGAATAAGCCTTAGGTCTAACCTTTAGAAGCAATATACCTGAAAGGTTTCCTCTCAACAATGTGATAGAGACGACCAGGCGCATAAAGCCTCCTTGGATCTTTGATCTTTTTCTCCTCTGACGTGAAAGTGTCTTTTATGCATCTTAAGCAAAGCAAGCATGGCAAACTGTTCAAACAAGTATCATGACACTCTTTCAAATTGATAATGAAGTGGGGAACTAATAGCAAGAGACTATTATTTGGAAATTTTCCATACTCAATTTGCAAAAGGAACATAGGTACAAGTTGACTTTTTTGAACGTCAGGTATATTACCTTCCAAATTCAAATTGATATGATTTTGCTACAAACAGGTACCACCACTTTAAAAGCCCTAAAGCCTCAGGATATGTTCAACCACATATTTTACTTGCAAAATAGTAAAAATTGCAATAAATAAAAAAAAGGCAAGTCATTTTGACCACAAAAGTCAAAATGCACTTCTTCATGGAATTGAAGGAATAAGAGAATATATTCCCTACCGATGTTGAACATGAACCAATCATGATCTTAATTCATTATTATGGTTTAGATAGGAATTAAAATCATGGTTTTGCACATGTGACACATGATAAATGGCATATCTTACTATTACCAGAAAACTGATTTGAAAATGTCTTCCAAAGGTGTGGCTGTCCGAGGCAAGAAATCATCCTGCTTCAGTGAATAATCAGGATTAAAATTTGAATTAATTTGAACTTCCTTGAAGCAAAAGTGTTCAATATAGAAAACATCAACAAACAAGAAGGCAGAAAACAACTTGCCTGAAGCACGACAGAATTGATGATATCTGCATATCTAACTGCCAAATTCAGTGACATGCACCTTGCAGGTGCAATTGAATAACACCGAATCCTCTTTCTGTCAATGTTCCCCAACCTATGTCGATTTTGCACCACCACCACTGCCAGCAGTGCCGCAATGCCTGACCCAAGTGAGTGTCCAGTAAAGGTCAAGGTGTAATTTGGATACTGTTCCAACAAATTTTTCAAAGTGTCATATTCTGCATCTAATACGACTCCAGCTGCTTTTAACAATCCATTATGGACATACCCACCATCAAATTTCCTCTGACCCAACTTATTATCCAACAAAACTGCATAATCTTTCTGGTTGGCCAAGTTAAGGCCCCTGATAGCAAGAACTATATCCGCATGATCATGATCAAGATACAACAAGTATGGTGGGGCTTGGGGATGAGTATCATCATAAGTTCTCTTCAAGATCAACCAATCTGGATTAATCCCATATCCACCAGGAGGTTCCCAAAGAGGGCATCTGAGATCATCTTCATAGACTGCCAGTATATACCGGCAAAGCCTAGGGACAGGCTCAAATTCTTCAGCCGCGGCAACACCCCATGTCTCACTATCATGGCCTGCAGTATAAAGGCATCGCTTCCAAGCCCATCGAGCACAAGCGATACAGTAGACACACTCAAGCAGAGGGAAGCCACATATGATCGACATTGTAGCTTTGAAGGTACAAAGATATCAATAAAGATTGAAAAACATCAGTCAGTACAAATTATTCATGTAAATCAAAAGAAACTGATGTATACTAGTAAAAGTTAAGAAATATCCCCCAGACATTTCATCAAACAGGTAGAAGGCTAAAGATAAACTGGGCACCCATAAAAAAAATTCTATAAACAACCTTGCTAGCTATAACATCAAGCCAAGATAAGGTCAAACCCAGTAATTTTTGTAAATGAAATGACAATAGACTATACGACTTCTTGTTCAAATACTATAACCGATATAAACGAAGTAGCCGCTTTAGGATTATGGATTGGCTGATTCATTTAATGAATTCAAACAGATATTCGATATGGATGACGGATGGAAATCCTGTTACAGAGCACAAGAATCTAGCACCTGGGAATCTAAGTACAAGAAAATCGAAAAGGGGAATTTGGAATTACTTTGGAATCAAATCAGGAGGTTCCACCAAGTGCTGCTGAAGAGTGTGGGTGTGAATAATAATGGATATGGAGAGAGAAACCATATTTCGAAAAAAATGGGTGTGCTTTTCTAAAACCAGTAGTTAATTTGGACTATTACTTCCTTCGTCTCAACGTGGAAGAGTGTGAAAATGGGTGTCTACGGCTTTTCTAAAACCAGTAGTTAATTTGTAGGTTCCAAGTAGGCTGCAAACGAACTGTACTTTCAGCGAACCGTTCGTGAATTGTTCGGTGAAAAGTTCGTTTATTTAATAAATGAACGAAAATAAACAATTTGTTTTTTGTTTGTTTAGTTAAACGAACGAACATGAACAAGAGTCTCGTTCATTTATGTTCGTGAATTTTCGTTTGTTTACCGTTCGTTTATATGCTAAATTTAATATATAATCTTTTGTTTATTTACTTTGAATTCAAATAATATTTATTTATGTTCGTTTACATTCGTTTGACATGTTAACGAACGAACATAAACGAACACGAACACACATGATTTCTAAACGAACAAACATGAACACAAAGATTTTCGTTCGTTTACCGTTCGTGTTCGTTCGTTTGTTCAGTTAAGTTAAACGAACGAACATGAACAAGCCTCCGTTCGTGTTCGTTCGGTTCGTTTACATCCCTACTTTCAAGTCTCGGTGACCTTTTGATACTGGTCTATGTGGTTTTTCGAAGCATTTTGTAAAAACGTCCAAATTTGATCATTTCCTTAAGTTAAAAAAAACGAGTTATTTTTCATCATTTTATCAATCTTTTGTATTTTAACCAATCAAAACGGTTCTATGATTTTGGTCACCATAATTTTTTATTGGAAAAAAACAACTGAACGGAAATTATATAATTTAACGATTTTTTTAACAACCCTTTGAAGGAGGGATCAGATCCAAACATTTTTATAAACTATATTGGTTAGTTTTTAATTTTGAAATTACAGAGACAAAAAATGTTATTTTCGGTACATCACATCGGCCGATTTATAATTCACTCTTAAATTAATGTAAGGATTAAAGAGATGATTCAATTAATTTTATAATACGTTGACAGTTTTTTTTTATCTATTTTTGCAAATACAAATTCCTTTCAAAATCATTTTTATCTGATATAACAAAACTGAAACTGCTTTCAGTTTATTTTTATAAACACGGTTTTTGTCGTCTTATAGATATATGGATGTTTTTATCAGGAAAAAATAAGAGTAATACTTAATCACAGTATGTTAATAGAAGTTGGGGTATTATGAAAACAGTATTTTGATTTTAATGGTTTGATTAACGTTTACATAGTTGTATATCCATGCAATGCAACGTGATTTTAAGGATTAAAACAGTTTATTAACCGTTGCTCGTAAATGCAACAAGAAGTTAAAAATAAGAAGTTAAAATCCCCAAGAAACAATTGCATGAAAAATGTAAATTGTAATAAGACAGCGACGGGTCCAAGATTTTTATTTAGTTGGGTCACCTTTAAGGTAGGCTAAAGGCCCGCAAAATCGTCCGATGTGTTTTTAACCTAGTTATCGAGGGATTTTTAAAGGGTTTTTGGTTGATTTCGAAAGATTTTTTAGTGTTTTTGTCGATTTCAGATAACTTTTTTGGTTTTTTTGATTGATTTCAATAGATTTTTTGGTTAGAGTAACGGTTTCGATTGAAATTAGGTCCCCGTGGAAATTTTGACTGGGTCCCCCCCCCCCTTTTGCTATTGCATCCGCTCCAGTAATAAAGATAAAGAAGAAACTCAAAGTAAAAAGGTAAAAGCATTTTAACAGAAACCTGAAAGGCAACAATCACTCGTGCAATTACGACCGCAACCATCAGAGGCACCAAGATTGGAGCATCTCCTTCCAGGAGCACAAGCTCCTTATTCTTCTTCAAATTTTGAATACCCGTAAGATTTAAGAACTTTTGGAATTTCAAACATGAGCAGAACATTGTTTGAAGAGATAAATCCCAGTATTCAAATTTTGAATTTGAAATTGGGTACATAAAGGTGTTCCTAGTGAATTGATTGCAGGTTAGAGCTGGAATAAGGTTGAAGAAAACTCCGACTGTTAAGAAAGAAAATTTTAAAGCAACCAAATTCGGAGACGATTTGAGTATCCGGAAGAAATAAAAGAAAGAAAGCTGAAAATAGGGTACGAAAGAAACATTCAGGAAGAAATAAAGTGTCGTTCTTGCCTGTTTGATGATTTGTCGCATGGGTGTTAAGGGTGCATTTGGTACACTGGACAGGACGAGACAGAACATGACAGGGATCCCTGTCCCATGTTTGGCATGACTTTTATGTGGAACAGACATGAACAGAGTGGAACATGCCTGTTCCAACCCCTAACTCATGGAACATGGTGGAATCAAGTTTTTGAAACCCATATTTTTTTATCTTAATTTTTAAAAATATCAAAATTATTTTAAATATAATAAATTTTTAATTAATAAAATTATATAAAAAGAATGACTATTTTATTCTCTTTAATTTGATATCTATATTGAGACATGAGATCATGTAAGACAAAACTGTTTTCATGAAACACGTGAGACAATTTTTTTACACTTAAAACTTCACAGCAAAACAATGTGAAAGTAACCTTCACAGTATTTTTACGGTGAAGGTTCAGATTTTTTATCTTCACAACATTTTGTTGTGAAGTTTCAAGTATAAAAAAATTGTCTCACGAAAACAACCTTGTCTCACGTGAACCTAACCCTTCATATTGATGTATATATGTATTTAATTTGGTTTTCATAACTTCAATCATGAGTATATTTATGCAATATTTCAACTATATTCTATAACATTTAAAACTTATTAATACGATTGAACGATAATTTTATAATCTTTAATTTGACATCAATATCAAATATATAGTTTTGCGTTTTTAAAATCAATCAGACATGTTCAACCAGCACTTCTAAATTATGTTTTGCTCAGACATAAAGTTCAGTGTTTTTTTAATGAGATGTTGCATTAACTTTTTATTATTGCTTTACATTACAGAGTTTAAATCTTGCTGTATCATACGAATAAACGATTAGTAAATTATAAAAGCAGACAATATATTGACAAAGTTAATAAAAAAACAGATATTGAAAAACCGACAAACTATACCAATTTAAATGTTAACTGACCTGACGTGCCTAGTACATGGTGCTACGGGTATCGCCAAAAGGTACGACCCATGATCGATGGAAGGGCCCATGAATTGGGCGTTACGAGCCCCGCAACGCTACTGAGGCCACAACCGCCCTTTGGTATTTCGGTTAAGATTATCGGGCCGTATTAAACCTACATTTTTTGTTTAATCAAAATTAGTAGATATGACTACAAAGTAGAATTTAGCCCATTGTGGGCCAGTGCTGGGCCTGGGTTACATACAATAAGCTCAACTTTGAAAGCCCAATAGTCAGACGCGATTCCCAATTCCCATTATAAATTGGATCCTAAACCTAAACCCTAATCTTCTTCACGTTCCTCCTCCGTTCACCGTACGCCGATCCAGATATACGACGAGGTATGCCTTTTTTCCGCTCCAGACTTTCCGTCTATCTATCTTGTGATTATCTTAATGCGCTTAATCCACTGTTGAAGCTTATAGGTTTGTTTTTTCTTTGGATTTGATAGTCAGCTGATCTGTTGAAGTGTTCAATCTTCAGATTTTTTCTAAGATTTTGATATGTAGAGAAATATTCAACCTAAATTGATGCTTTTTCAGTTTAAAGCTAACATAAGAAAAGGATATATGTATATGAGACAGGTGGTGTTGGAATCAATCGGTTAATGCATTTGGTAATTTTGCTTTTTAGAAAGCTCATGGATGGAATCGTTAAATCTCTCTATTTTTTCCTGAAATTTTGAGTAAACAAAATCAGTCTTATTGATGAAGCGTTTTGCATTTTCAACGGATATATAGAACACGGTTTGTCTCTAGGACATATGGTACGAGAAAAACTGTGTGATGCATTTGGTTATGTGGGCTGATGGAAAGATGGTGATTAAAAGCTTTGAAATCTCTGTTTCTTTTATCCGAGTGCTTAACACGTTAACAATCCCATCCTTTTTTGATTTTTCTGTTCTAGTTTCAAGCTAGCTTTAGAAAAAGTGTTATGCATATAGGACATGTGGTATGAGAATAAACTAATGAACGAATGTGAAACTGATGCACATTGTGTAAAATTGGTAGCAGGTGATGGCCCCGAAGCAGCCTAATACAGGCCTATGTGTTGGATTGAATAAAGGCCATGTTGTGACCAAGAAGGAGTTGGCTCCTCGCCCATCTGATAGGAAAGGGGTAAGTTATTTATTTCAACTCAAGCTTTTGTTTCTGCTCTTTTATCATGTTATGACCATGAAAGCTTGAAACTGAATTAGCTTTATGCACTTGTAGTGATTAAGAACCTCTATGTTCTGTTAGTGTTTTTATCATATCTAAGATACGTTAGTGCAAGTATCAAGCCTGCAAAATTCAAGATTGTTATTACTTTCACAGAAAACAAGCAAGAGGTCCCATTTTGTGAGGAATTTGATCCGTGAAGTAGCGGGTTTTGCACCATATGAAAAGAGGATCACCGAGCTGCTTAAAGTAGGAAAGGACAAGCGTGCTCTTAAGGTCGCCAAGAGAAAGTTGGGTACCCACAAGAGGGCCAAGAAGAAGAGAGAGGAGATGTCAAGCGTTCTCCGCAAGATGAGGTATTTTTTTTTGATTCTTGTCAACATATTCTTTAATTTCTTTAATTGGAATAAATGGACATGTTAGCATTGTTTCTCACTTAAATTTTGAATCATTTGCAGGTCTGGTGGAGGTGCTGAGAAGAAAAAGTGAGGTACATCCAGGTTTTGAATTTGTTAAACATAATTTTGTTATCATCTCTACTAGTTGGAGCCTTGAGTATTATTAGTTCAGTCAAATATCTTTCCATTAAGGGTTGAACTTAAGTTGGTCATAGTTTTCTCGTCTTATCATGTACTTTGTGACCCATCTTTGTGAGTTGGGATTCATGTACTACTTTTGATCGTTTCTATATGGAATTCGCTTTACTGAGTTGTGCTTGTATTCCATTACTTCAAGATGTGTTATGCAAGTCTTGGGTCATGTATTAAACCCTTGTATGTTTGTGTGAGCATTAGCTTAAGAGATGGCTAAACATTCCCTGGAACCCGTGAGGTACTGGACCGTGGGTGGTTTTGAAAAAATGAGGCCTGTCCTTGGACCAGGACTAGTTATGCATGGAGAGTGTGTAATTGATGATTTTTATAAATTGTAATACCAGTTTTTGTGGACAGGGCCGAGACTCTGCCAAGCCTAGGATCAGTTTTAATCTCTTTGGTCAGAACTGGGGTTGGTTGGCTTGATTACAGTCTGAGATGGGGATTGGTTTTTGGCCATCTTAAGGCTTGAGCCTATGGTACTTGCTTTTTTTCAAGGTCCAGTTAAAGCCATGTTCGAAAAAGCTAGGCCTGAAAACATCTGTTAAGCCAGAAAAGCATAGGCTGAAAGAGCCCAATCAGGCCCCCCCTTCGACCCTGACCCTAAAAAAACCAAGCCATGGTGCATCTAGGATGTATGGTTTGTTCTAGATATAACAACTAATATATTATATAAAAGTGAGGATGTGAAAATTGGTTTATGTATGCGTGGGGTGTTTGGGATTGCTTATAAAATAAATTTATTGACTTATTTCGGTGCGACACAGGTAATAAGAACTTTTGAATGTTTGGATAAACAACTTATACTGGTGTTAAACGTTGATAAGGTGTTTTTGAAGAAGTTAAATCATTCTAACTTATAATAAGTTGATAAGTACTTCGGTAGAAAAGTACAAGTTGTTTCAATAAGCAAATCCCAAACATCCTTAAAAATAGAAATCTGAAACCAAATTAGCAAAAAAATTGTAACTAGCAAATAAATATGAGTGAAGTTTAATTTTGATCTTTATAGTTGCGGAAAAGTATAAAAGTGGGATTTAAGCTTTTGATAAGTGCAAAATTATCTTATGGTTTGTATTTTCCTCTCAAGGCAAAGGATCTTATGAGAATAAGAATTAAATGTGAGAAACGTAAGAATGGATTTGATTTATTGATCACCTATAATCTCAAATCCACTTATAAATTGTGCTTGATACGGGGATGAATCTGGTGCATCTGATTTCGGAATATCTCATCCTAATATATAGTCAAGGGTGAGGATCATTTCTTATGCTTCTCACCGGATAAGTAATGAGTTTTTATGGTTTATTTACTTGCATATCCCTGGTTCACAATCCAAGAAAATGGTAAATGAACTTGGGATCATGTGAGAACTTTTATTTTGTTAAGTGTGAAAAATAGTAGAAGTATTCTTATATTGTGTGAATGTTACATTACAATTAGACATAAACTGAAATTTGTATTGAAAAGTTACCTCCACATGCTTTGACACAATATATAGTTATATTTCTCACATTTTCTCGTGAGAATAAGTATTTATCTATCGAACCCAACTCATTATAAATGTGGGTAAAAACACCCAGAATTTTTGATTGAACATGACATGAAAATAGAAATTGTTTTTACGAAAAGATCATTAACACAACAATATCACAATCATTTATCGAGTGTATGGGTTGTTTGTTTACCTCTTTAATAGTTCCATTAAGAGACATAATCTGAATCGTTAAGAGATGAAACTTGTTTGGCAAAAAAAAGACCTGCCTCTTAATGGTTCTAAAACCCTCTGAATGATTTTGTATCATGCGTCTTCCTTAACCATTAAGCGCCCTAATTTCATTATAAACAATTACCAAAAAATTATATTTTATTTTGCACTATATCATGAGAGCCTCTTAATAATTATGACCACCTAATCATTCTGCACCAAATCATTCAACAACTGCCAGATTTAAGCTTGTTAGAGATCAAGCGTTCAAGCTTCATCAAATGCGAGAAGTGTATGTATGTTTTATTATGTAAAAAATACTATTTACTTAAAAAGAGCTTTGTATCTTCAATAAAAGTGAAGAGTGGGCCTCATATCTTATGCTATTAATTTCTCTCCACAAAATTGTAGCAATATCTGCAAATACTATTCAGAAGTACATCTTACAACCAGCTGCAAGACCATTATTATTCAGAGTCACAAAAGGAGAGCAAGTGAGGTTTACAAAATTACAACAAAAAATACCCACCATACTACTCATCATGTCTTGAACTTCTGTGTCAATTTCTCAACTCCTTCCCTGCAATCGCCAGCAACACGCTTCGCGCCTTCTTTAGCCGCCGAAACCAACCCAACCGAACCTTGCTGCAAATCTTGCATCGAGCCGCTCATTTTCGACACAGCCCCATCTTTCACTTCGCCCATTTGCCTCATCGCCTTGGATGCCATTTCCTTCAATTGAGATATAAGAAATAGTATCTTCTCGATTACCTTGTCAATTGTCTCTCTGGATTTTCCCTTAACGTCTGCTGCCATTGCCTTCAGTTTGTCCACCAGGTTTTCAGCTCGGCTCTTGGTTTCTTCGATTGAAAACTGGTTCTGACCACTGACCCATGTGGGTCCAGCGTTAGCCTCATCACGAAGATCGTTGTCTACAATGACCTTAATGCCTTGGCTCTCCCAGCGGCCTCTAGCATCCTCTAGGACTTTTGCTTGCTCTCTTGCTCGTTTTGCCTCATCTTCAGCCCAAGATCTGAATCACAAGTCGATAGGTTCATGTAAGTGATTAATCAGCAGGCAACTGAAATACCCTTTTAACAAAGATTTGTGGACCAAACCAAACAAGCCCAGTATATCCCATCCAGAAGTGGGGTTTGGGAGGGTATGATGTACCTAAAAGAGAAGCGGTTGTTTTCATGAAGACCCTTCGGCTTTTAAAAAGTGTGAAAAAAAGAGCCTAAAAAATTTGAGAACATATAAAAGAGAGGAAGACTTTGAAAATGAAGAACTTGAGACAAGAAAGGCAGACATAATGCAATATGAGAAACTAGACATGAGTAAAAAAGAACACAACAAATAGAGATGATAATGGCGAATCTGATCGTTTTGTGCACCTTCTAGCCAATTGTCAGAACAATATAAATGTATGGAAAAAGATCGTAACTGGTTGATGCACAAATTTTCAGCAACAATGACCCAATTTGCATACTGGAAAACATACTTAACCACATGGTGAAACCATTTCATATGTGATTTTTGCAGTGACACGCACACAAGAAAATATAAACAGTATAGAGAGAAGAAATGGAGCTTACCTGGCCATGGCCAAGGCTTTTCGCTCAACTTCTAATTCATACTGTAACCGTGAGATCTCCTGATTCTCGGTTTCTGCATCTGTCCGGAGCTTCTTTAGCCTTTCTTTTTCATATGATATCTCTACTTTGTTACTCATAATGCTCTGCAACTCTTCTTCTGCTTCATGCCGCAACTTTGAAAGCACTTCCATTTGTGAATCAACAGCTGCCCGATCTTTCATTATCTTGATGTTCTGTTCCACTTGTTCGGCTCTTAACCGTTCTAATTCCTGCTTCGTCTCTTCAGCTATTTTCTCTAGAGCAACTATCTTTTCTCTTTCCAGCAAAAGATCCTTCTCGAAATATGTATTAACATCTTTCTGCACCTGATCAACAAGAGCACTATGTGCAGCAACAGCCTTCTCAGCCATAGATTCTGCTTCTATGCGTGCAAGTTCCTCACTAACTATATCAGAAGCTTCACCAGTTGCTAGAGCAATAGCAGCTTGAGATTTCGTCACAGGCTTATCTGGCTGAAAGAGCCTCGTGTAACCTGTGAAAATAAGTTAATTTTAAAGCGGAAGAAAGTTTAATGTGAAAGACAAACAAAGGGTATGAAAACTTACCAAATGCAAGGCCTACTATTCCTTGTTCTCCTGCTGATAAGTCTGCTATGAGTGCAGGCCAAGCATCTGGATTGATCTTGTCAATGTCTATGAAACCAGAAAGTCGTTGAAGGATCTGCCCGTTGGTCCGAAATATCTTAGGTTCAAAGTTCATATGATGAAAAAATGAACTTAATTCAATTTCCAAGTCATATTACCGTTCTGTCAGCTACAGGAAGCAGTCTTTTTTCCAGGGACATTTTCCAGCTCACAAGATCCTGACGAGATAAAGGGCTGCAAAAAATTGAGGACAATCAAACACCAAAGTTCTTGCCTATTGATTTCATCATAGATTATTGCAGAAGAAGGCAAGAGTGTTGCAAATGTATCATTAACGGATAGATTTGAGGAAAAGAAGGTCAAGAACAGTGATATAGTTGTAAAATTGTACCTTTGAGGACCAAAGTACAGAGGGCACTCATCCTGATTTGAAATATCCATGTCCTGTCGGGAGAGCTTGCTGGCAATGAGTCCAGCTTCTGCTAATCCTGAAGATCCAAGTGTTTCTTAACTTTTGTGCAACAGCAGTTTAATTAAACAGATAAGACGAGATAGTCCTAAGGGTGCATTTAGTATGCAGACGGGACTGGACGTGATAGGACTGAACAGGTGAGAGTGAGATAGGCACCGAAAGAATTCTAAAAGGTTTCAAGGTTTTAATTTGACATGGTCAGTTTAGTAATCTACTAATCTTGTCTCATATCACTGATATTGTTCCTCCTATTTTGGCGGGATGTCCTGTCCTGTCCCAGTTTAATGTCACACCAAAAGTGGGGCAAGTTTTTGCTATCCTGCCCTGGGTAACAAACGCACCCTAAATGTCTCCAGCATGTTTAGATTTATCTGTTTACCTTGAATGGATGAGAAATCAGGATCTTCAGGTGTAATGTCATCAAATGCAAGTTCGGTTACATTCTCGATATACATTGCAGGGTACACTTTGGATAGAGTATTTCTATATAGAGAAGAAGTAATTAGATTGGCTTTAATGCTCAGATATATAAAAACCCTCATTCAAATACACACATTAAATGAGTACAAGTATCACAATGAAATCGTATGTACCTTGAAAGAGCACTGCTGGCAGAAACCAACCATCGAGCATATTCACGGCGAGTACATAAATCACCAGGATGAACATCACTTTCAATAACCTGAGGGCTTTATACTTGCATATATTATTGCCAAGCTTTCCAAATTTCATGGGTTCATACCTTTTAATTAATAAGTTATATACACATCCAATGTGCCTGCTTTAGCACGATATAAAATGCTCCCTCTGTCCCAAAACAAGTGTCCACGTTTCTATTTTCAGTTTGTCCCAGAGTAAGTGTCCACTTTCCAATTCTATCCTTGGTTATGAGATGGAGAAATTCATTACTCCGTCTATTATTAAGGATATAACTGTCATTTAGTTAATTAAAAAGGGTAATATTACCATTCCTAAAATAGTGTGCCTTTTTATTGTGGACATTTATTTTGGGGGAGAGAGAGAGAGTAAGAAACTAACAATATAATTTGCCAATATTTACCACAGCAGGAGAGTTAATATACTCAACAGAAGACGGAAAATGACCTTTAATACTTGCAACGCTGCTAATGCCTGTCCCTGAACTTGATCAACTACAGCAGGAACTAACACCTTCCCAGGGACGGCCTGTAAAGCTGGAGAAAGTAGAGATGGAGCAGGTACACTAGCAGAAGAGGAAAGCTTTTCAAAATCCATCGAGTCAAAAATTGTTCTCCTAATGTTATCATTATGATCAATATGATTTTGTTCACTTGCAAATGTATAAGGCAATGCTGATTCTGGAACTGGAATAGACAATCCACCACCTGAAACTTCCCTTTCTGGGAACAACATACTATTGCCAAAATCATCTTTTTTTGAGCTAATAGATTCTATATCCTCTTCGTGAGCCAACTGGGGCTCCAAGATCACATCTGATTGAGAGCTGATGGAGACTTTCTCAGCCACCTGCTCACTCTGTGAATCGAGAAGGGTAATCAAGGGTGATGGTAAGGTGGATTTATCTAACCCATTTATTGCAGCATCTACCTCTTGGTGATCAATGTCAGGATTTTCCGACTTTACATCCATGACTGAGGACTCTATAATATTAAAATCAATGGGATTCTCTGTTAACTTATTACTCGATTCAAGCTTCTCAGCAACAAGACTATCATCCAAATTCTCAATGTTTGATGCATCAAACGAATCATCATGGACATTGGATTTAGGTGTTTCTACAGAGTCACCTTGAACTTCATCAGTTGGTAATTCCTCTTGAAACTCTCGTTGGATGGAAACATTGTTCATCACTTCCCCATCCTCTTTGTTAGTATTCTGGCCTAGTTCACTTTCAGTCATAGTTTTATTTTCTTTTTCATGTGAATAAGAATCGTCATCTCTACCTGTCTTGTCTTCAAGATGACTATCATCTAGAAAGGCAGTCTCGCTCTCAGTGCCCTCATCTTCAATAACATCATCATTCTGGTCAGCAGAAACCAACGACTCTTCCTGATGTGTTGTCAAGGTTTCCATGTTTTGTTTTGGTCCTAAAGGACAAGTAAGCAATTAGGCATGGATGATATTGTTTACTAGAAAATTGACAATATTAATAGATTCTGTGAACTACACATGAGAAGAAATTGTGGTAGCTTGCAATAATGGAAATCAAATAAAACATATGGAAATAAGCCGTGCTTACCAGACACCCGCTTGCTTACAGACAATGTTGCAAAGGCTAGTCCAGCAACAAGAACAACTCCTGCTACTGCAGCTCCCACTATCCCTGAAAGTAAGCTACACTTGTGTTATTACAAGAATACCATCTGCAAAATCAAAAGATCATAAATCAAAGGCCATCCTAAGAGGTTGTATGCTTACACACAGAGGTAAAAAAAAGGTGTGTTCTACAATATTCCACTCCTCCAACCAACATTTAACCAAACATGAACAAAGGTATACCACAACAAGCACTCAAATGGGCCAGCAACACTAACAAATAGAGGATAAGCCTTAGGGTCCATAGTTCAGCAGTTCGAGTCTCCTGAGGGCTATTGGGGATTCCCAGGTTGTTATCTTCAGAGTCCCATGGGATAAGTCAAGGTGCGCATAAACTGCCCAGACGTCCACTGTTACCCCCGAAAAAATGAAGAAAGCCTAAAACTTGAAACATATCATTTTACATTATGACAACCTCAACTTGAATGAGAACCACACACATAACAGGATTTGCTTTCAACACAATCAACTGTACAAGAACATTTTCAAAAATCTGAACTAGCAATCTGGTTCCTGCTTTTCATTCTATTTATATGCATTCCATTTATCACATAGGCTCCACTATATAGTAACAGTCACTAGCAAGAAAAAAAGGAATTGCACTTTGATCTCCCAATTCAAACTTAATAGTTTTCCTAATTCCAATGCATAATTCATACAGACAAAAATGCAAATTTAACACCGACATTATACTTATCGTGGTATGTGTTAAATCTTTGCAAGACAATTTTTTCCCCAAAGATCCATAACAACATGTGTGGCATCTAAAGCCTGAGTAATATACAAATGAGACAAGTAATAAATTTGAAGCATTGATTGCTCATCACAGAAACAACACTAAATCATACAGTATATATTAGGGTGAACTAGTTTCTATTCTCACAGTTGTTTCCTTGCAGCCTAACCATATAAAGCATTAAACTAGTGATTTTAGACAATTTCCAATGTTGTTTGCAACAAACTACAAATACTATGTCTAAAAACTAAATACTATAGAACAGTTTTAGGAGCTACAAAACTAGATAGATCAAAGTCAATTTTATATCTTGAAAGGTTTGGATTTTCAGGATAAAACTGGAATCTACCATTGGGAATTGAGGAGGAATAAGTATACATATTTGTTAGTGAAAATGATTCAATACAAATTCCCAAAAACCATCAAACAAATAAGTTTAACGTCATCTCCTACCTCCGGACCACCCCTTTTTCGGTGGAGATTCATCCAACACTTCGCTGTCATTATCATCACCAGACCATCCAGAAAAAGCATTGAGAGAAAATTTCGAACCCGTCCGTTGATGAGTCACATTATCTCTAGAAAAAGAAAAACAACGAATTTGATGGTCTGGCTTATGACCACGCATCCGTAGGAAGACAGAAGGTGAGGGATACTTCCTGCAATTGAGGGCGGCTAATCGGAGCTGGTAAGAGGTCGGAGACCTTGTTGTGATACAAGAACTCATGGTGTCAATTTACAGAATCACAAAGGAATCGTAGACGTTGAGATCGGTAAGCCCAATTATAGGGTTTTGTTAGTATCTAGGGTTTCTTGCTTTTACAGTGATGGAGGGAGAAGGAGGACGATAGACCCACAATTCTTTGGTCTCTATACCTTATCGAAAAGAGAGTGGTATAGGAGCGGTATATCCCACCAACTCGGAACACCCATTTTGGTATCTGGATTCTCGGGGTCTTATTGTAATTATTTAAACTTCAAGGTGATTTATGTATTTAAGTTAAATTTTGAGGGGCGTCTTCGACTCTTCGTCCCTGTAGTTTGCTGAAAATTATCATTTCCGTTTCCATGGTTTTGAAATTACGATTTTCATCCTTATAATTTATAACTCATTGTTTTTCAGTCCTTCCGATTTAAAAATTATTGTTGCTTTCATTCATGTGGTTTACAATTCATTGTTATTTTAATCTCTCAAACTTAGAGATACTAATTAACCTTAGGGATGAATATAACAATGAATTACAAATCTCAAGGATGAAAATTGCAATTTCAAAATCATAAAGATAAAATTCGTAACTTTTAACAAATGACAATGAATACTGAACTCTTTTTTCTTTCTATCTATACTATATTATAAAACATTTTAAAAAAACTCTTAAAAACCATTTTTATGTATGAAATATTGTTTATTGATGTATATTACTTAAAATTCAAGATTACAAGTGATTTTCTGTAAGTACAACTTATTAAAGATTCATTTTTAAATTCGTGTAACTAACTGCAGATAAACATAATCAAATGCAATATAAACATCTATTTTAAATATAGAAAATCTAAAATATAATTAAGATAATCATTGACTTTCTAACCGAATTTTTAATTATTATCTTTAATAAAAATTATATCATTAACCAAAAATAAATTATTTTGTTATTAGACCTAAATTAAATTATAATAAAAAATTGAATTAAAGAATTTACACCAAAAAACAAGAACTATTAGATAGTTAATTGAATACTAATATCGATTTTATTTCTTTAATTTTTTTGTGCTATCTTCAAATTTATATTTCATTCAAAAATAAAACCATTATCGCTTTCTCAAAACCACATAAAAAAATCGCATTATATACTAATAGAGACAAAGAATAAAAACTAAACATTAAAATCGAGATTTATCTAGCTGTATTACGCGAATACCCTTCTAGTAAAACAATAATTAGGGGGTGTATTAAAATTTGATTATTTGATGCAAAAAAATATGAATTATGCATTATTTTTAATAAAATGTGTTGTAAAAGTTGATGTGTTGATGTGTTGATGTGTTTATGTTATATGAAGTTGTAATAAGTAGATAATTAGTTGTTTAAGTGTTTGTTTGATGTGTCTATTTTGTTGTTGCATAGTTTTTTGGTTTGTAAAAGAATCCCCATTTTCGTATTAGGAATCCCTGATCCGCATCGAGACGGGGATTTGATCGTATTCCCAAACAGGATAAGGGCGGAGATGGAGATTTGATCATATTCCCAGACAGGATAAGGACGGGGATGGAGAAGAGGGATCGAAAGGGGACGCCCATCCTCGTCGCATTCTCATGTCTGTTAGGTGATGAAGATCTTTTTCAAATTTTAACAAGTCATTGGGTGGGCCTGAACTGGATGAGGCCCGTTTTGATAGAAATTGGACTTAAATTAGGCGACTTTTGATCGAAATCGAGATTGAACCATGTCTAAAGCGAACCAGAATGTTGGTTTCAGAAGTTGTTTGGTTTAGGTAATGGAATGAAAATAAGGATGAAAATAAAAAATAACAGGAAATAAAAATGGAAACGGATTTTCATTCTCCTATTTTAATCTGGGATGAAAATTTAGGCTTAAGAGAAATGAGCCCATTATATTATACTAGTTGTGTACCCGCGCAATGCGGCGGGAGCCGTGAATTTTAACGATTTTGAAGTCTCACTGGTTTTATTAGAAAAGATTTAACGATAATAAAAGTTATATTTGGTCTTTACATATTAACATAATTTGAATAAATAAGAGTTATGGTACTTCTGATTACAGTCTATTGATGGAAAAAAAATTGTATGACAGTTTAAAATCCAACATATTTAAACGACTCCACAAATGAGTTCGATTTACACCAAGAGGAAAGAATCAAGAGAGTGAGAGCGAGATCGAGAGTTCTTGAGCAATTGAATGAGAGAACTTTTAACAACTCATAGTGAATAAGAGTTTGAATCTCATCTTGGGGGATGTGGAGAAGACATAGAGGTATGAGAGAGTGAAGACATGAGTGAAAATTGTCAAAAGTATCTTGGGAACATGAAAAGAAAAGGTAATAATATGCATTGGTAACTTGTATTATATGTTATTTTAATTGTAGATTATGAGATTTTAAGATTGAATGCATAAAGTAGTAGTACTTAATGCATTATGAGTTGTTTTTAAGATTTTGTGCATAAATGTATAGTACTTTGTGCATTAAAAATTGTTTTTAAGACTTTTGATAAATTTGATTTATAAAATAATATAGATAAAACCAAATAATTTCTGTTATTTTTAATCCATTAATTAATGCCTAATACTTCTTCTAACCACCTCTCAATGTACACGACATAGGTCAAAACGAGGACCAAAAATAGGGCATGAAGGCCTGGACCGAACATGGAACGTTAGTGTAACTCATCCTCTTTTATCGGGAATAAGCACGTACAATCATCGGTTTTGACTTAAGGCTTATATTAAGTGTTTATATTGTTATTGGATAAGTCGTGGAAGAGTGATTTGCTGATATATCTGACATCGTATTATCTTTCTATTTATACCATACTGATTATGTACATGCTCATTTGAATCGAGTTTTCTAATATTAGCCTACAAATAAATTAAGCTTCATTTTCTAAATAGTTATGGTAAAGAAAATTTTCTATTTCTACTAATATACATTATTTATGCAAAACAACTTTTCACATTAAGACCAGTTTATCAAAAGCTCATTGGGTCGTTTGTCTTATTAGATAAACATGACAATGACTAATAATTTTATTCGTTAAAATGATGGCAAGAATTGAGAGTCTTATCCGATCAGCGGTTACCGCGTTAATTGTTGCATACAATACCGTTTTGGTAAACAAGAATCTTACCCGGTAAGATAAATGACTGACTAACAATGTTGATTATTATCGACAACAGTTTACTGGATAATTCTCTATAAATCGAAATAATGCAAAAAATAAAAGAGTTTAAGGAAAGATATACGAACGTTCGGATGTATAATGGTCCATCCAACTTTGACTACTATAAATTCTCTAATTTTGAGTATTTTTTTCCTTTAACATGGATATCCAACCCGCTATGCGAGCCGATTAATTCTAGGACAACCACATGCTTTGCAGATAGCCCGAAGTCACCGCATTTGAACCTCCGTGGTCACAAGGGGATTTTTATTTCTCCTTGGATTTGAACCTGAGACCTCCAGATACTTTTGACATTTGAAGTCAAACTCAAATCAATCAGGTACCACTATTGTGGTTATTAATTTTGAGTATTTGGACATAGAAGAGTTACAATATGATTTGTATAAAAAGGCATCATTTTGGGTGGAATTTACTAGATTCGTTTGGTTTTATTTATAAAAAACTCTAAAAACTAACTATTTTGAAAGTATTATGATGTTATTAAATAGTCGTTCATGTCAGGGACAAACCTATAAACTTTTTCAAATGGTGACACCGTTTGAATATAAGAAAAAATATAGGAAATTTTTTTCAAACAGTGATACCATTTGACTATAAGAAACAAATGTACATAATTTTTTTCAAACAATAACACCATTTAACTAAGAAAATGACACTAACATGATTCAAACTTGGGTCTGGGGTGAAATAAAAGCCTTGCAAACCAACTCTACAAAATAAAACTTGTTCTCAATGTAGTTTCAAAATACATATGGTGACACACAACAAATTAATACGGTTGCACCTTTCACGAACCTAAATTTTTACCCTTCGATGGAGGAATAATAAGGTGGCACATGCCATCGTATGCTCTATTATATAGGGGTGAGCATAGGCGGGTAGCCGGGTACCCGCCCTTTTTGATAGGAACCGGAACCGGCGGTTCTTGAGATATTGGAACCGGAATCGGTTAGAGCGGTTCTTAAATTTTTGGAACCGGAACCGCCAGGAACCGGTTCCGGTTCCAGGTACCCGCTTCCTAAAATATTAAAATTTTGTTATTTAGAAATAAAAAATAAAACATTGTCAAAACACTAAAAAAATAAGCAAGAATACAAATTATACAGAATAATGGTTACAAATATTGTTTAACGATTACAAATCATAATAGACTAATATAAAATGTTCAAAGTTTAATGATTACATACTATAATGGAAAATGTTCAAAGTTTAACGATTACATACTATGAATCCAAGTGAACACACAATTTGAAAAAATACGAATCATTCTATATGAACAATTTAGATGAAAAATGAAGATGACGGCGTGCTTTTAAGATGTAAACCTAATATAAATTTGGTATTAAAAAATAATAATTATTTTTTTATTGAAAAATACCGAGTACCCGGCGGGTAACGGTTCCGAAAAATTGGGAACCGGAACCATTCTCAATCGGTTCCGTATTTTAGGAACCGGAACCATTCTCAATCGGTTCCGTATTTTAAGAACCGGAACCACTCATATCGGTTCCGGTTCCATAGCCGGGTACCCGGTTCCGCTGCTCACCCCTACTAGTATTATAGGTTCGCCACTGGTTCACGTTTGTTGTCATTTTACTTATTATTTTAGTCGTCAATCAAAATCATCTCACTATAAAACATAAAATTTCCTTTTTTAACAACTGATAATGTTATCTGTTGATTTTTAATAGGAAAAAAAAGTAGTTATGCCGCAAAATTAAAATGTTGCAGTTGGAAAGACAGATTAGACTATCAGATTAAGATGGAAGTTCTATTTCTTCTATAGGAGAGAATTTTATCATACATACACTGATTTTTTTTATAGTTCAGACCATTTGTCCTGCAATCGTTCTGCACTCCTGAGATTTTGATTTAACTGATATGTTGTTGTTTAGGTTTGTATAACCAATACATTCAGAAAACAATCTCTTAGAATCGATTGCTTTGATTAGTCAGATAGTCTTACATACAAAAGTAAAAAGCAAACACACTAATTACGCTTAAAGTACATTAACATAAACTAGTCAATTATACAGATATGTGTGGATCATTCATGGGTGTTGTTGACTGTTCTAACTATCGAATATGACATAATACTTCAGCACCATCTCTTATCAATCACAATTGACATAAGACTTCAACACCTCTTAAAAAATAAACACCACCTAAATTCACAAATAACAACGTCAAAGAGAGAATCAAGGGATAGAGACGCAAAAGTGTGATTTAGAGAGGCTCACCAAACATATATCATCATCTTTCTTTGAGTCCTTTTTCGGGACATCAATCCGATATGTCTTTTTTTAGTTACAACATATATGCAATTGATTATTTGTGCATTAAATAATCAGAATCAGAATCAGAATCAGAATCAATTTATTTGAAATATCAAAAGATGATGATCGTAAATTGAGGTTGCAATAGTTTAATAATCAATTTCAAAACATACTACGAATGAAATACTTTTAATTATATCTTGTACAGTATTCCGAAACATATTGCAAAGTTGGTGATGCATGTGTGCATGAAATTGTCCCTTTAATCATATGTCATGTCGTTGGATCTATCAAATGACATGTGATCCAATACTCCCGGACAAATTCTGATTTTCAATAATTCCCCTAACATCATCTTTTTAATAAAATGGTTAATAGACATCTTAAAATATCTGGAAAAAAAAAAACTAGGCTTTGAAGTTCTTTTTATTTTAATCGATCGTTAGGCTGGACATTAGCCGGCCCCAAAGCGATCCCAATCTATCCAAGTGGTCTTGATCTTTCTTGATAGTTTTTTTATTAACCTGGATATCCAACCCACTATGCGAGCCGACTAATCCCAGAACGACCACCTGCTTTGCAGATAGCCCGAAGTTACCGCATTTGAACATCCGTTACCACAATGAGATTTTTATTCCTCCTTGGATTTGAACCTGAGACCTCCTGGTACTTTTGACCTTTGGAGCCAAGTTCAAACCAATCAGACACCACCCTTGTGGTTTTCTTGACAGTTACTCTTAAGTGCTGGAGCAAATGCTTTTGTGATGGTTTGTATTTGTTGTTAAGGAATGATCGGGTTGGATTAGGTTATACATTAAAATTGTCTGTTTCAAACAGATTGGAACCTGAATAGTTGGGTAAGGTTATTCAAATCCCTTCGACCCAACCAAACCAATAAATATATAGGGGCCGTTTACCAAATGTTTATTTGGGTAAGCGTTTACCAAGTTACATTACCTTATTATATGAACATGGAAAAGACCATGAATCTTACCTGATAAGAGCGAGACAAGGACCTAGAGTCTTACTCTATAAGTGAGGACAATGACTCTTACCACGGTCAGCTCTTACCGAGTAATTGATGTATAGAAAGCTGTTTTTTGTTGACTAAAATCTTACCCAGTAAATAAATGGTAGTGTTGAATTTTACCGATAGATGCTTACTGGGTAAGTGTTTGGTATACAGCTCCATAGTTACGCACATATTTCTGGCTTAAATAAGTTATCATTTTAAATCACATGATCTTAAACGCTTGTAGATAGTTTGAAGGGTAGGGTCCAATCATCACCATCAGCTGCAGCAATGCCAAAATTAGGAGAAAAGAAGCCATGTAAACTTTTAGAAAGTGATTTAAAAAGTCAAAATATTAAACAAATTGCTATTTTGGGCAGCAATCTCAATTTTAAGTTATCCCATCTCCATTTACATGATTCATTTGCTTAATCGAATTATGGCTCATACTTCTGTCGAATGTGTTTTCTCGCTCATATTTGGTGTCGATCCTTCCCATAACTCCTTTAGCTCCTTTCTTGTCCACGAGATCACGACTATTGGTCCAAGTGTCGATGGCACCTACACCAACAAAAACATTCACCTAACGGTCAAAAGGCAACCCACTCGAATGGACAGTCTAACTTGAACCAAGCAGCTTATTAGAGCATCCACGATGGTTGGACATTTTTTCCAGAAAAGTGGCGGGCCCACAAGCAAAAAACAAGCTTTTCGAGAGCTTGATGGCCAAAAAGTTCCAACGTGGATGCTCTGTAAGTGAACCATCTCAACAAGGACCTGCCAAAGAAGATTTTTCCAAATTGAAGCTACATATTTTCATCATTTGGTTAAATATTTTTGGATATATAATTAATTATCAAATACTTTATTAAGTTATGTCTTGATATGAGATGTACTATTTAAAACAAGACTGTGATGCTACACTAAATGCTTTATGAAACATAGAGCTGTGGTGTGGGTATGCCTTTACAAGTATGGAAACACGCTTATAAAGAAGCCTCAACACTCGGACTGCAATTCTCTCTTCCTAACACACAGAGAAGACACCGTTTTAAACCAAAGCAAACGGACCCAGAGGGGTAGGGTTTGGGGATAGGATGTAGGCAGACCTTGCCTCTACCCAAGGGGTAGAGAGACTGTTTCTGTGAAGAAGAAAAGACACCATTTTATGGGTTGTTAAATCATGCAAATCTATCTACCCAAACAATTTCAATGAAGTCAATGGTAACATACCAAATATAGAAGTGCTGGTTGTGGAGAATGAGTTAGGATTCCAGCTGCTAAAGCAGTTATCAATCCAATAGCATATCCGGAAACAGCATACCAGATGTATTTATGCCCCTTATGAGGAGATATATCCAACGGGCTTGCAACCTCTTTGTCCTTTCTGTGGTCAAAACAGAGAACTAACGCCAGGAGCATAGAAGGAATAGCCTGGAAAAGCAGACAAGTTAACAATATAATACCGAAGCATCATTGAAGTAGAAAACGACATCGAATGCAAAAAGAACATACACAGCCTTTTTCACTAAATACTAATGTTCGCCTCCTTTCCTCTCAATGTAGTTTTCCCTCACTCACAGAAGTGTTTTTAAAATAATCAAGTGGCTTCTCACACCCCATCTGTGGGACCAATTAATAGGGAATTTTATTAACTGTGTTAAAGGGGATATATGAAGAAATGATTGAATGGGTACATATGACAAGAAAAGAGACACCATGTTAAACTTGAGACATGCTTGCTACTGACTTAACCATTTCATTGAAAATAGAGGATCAATAAGAAGCCATTGGCCCAATCACATCAACTCTGTGCAAGAAAGCATAAGCTTGGGGGGTTCAATTCTTATTGGGGATGTGTGTGTATGAAGGAGCAACATGAGTCATATGAGGAAAACTTTAAAGAATCAATGAGAAGCATAAACACAAAACATAAGTCATTGTTTGAGCACTTTCAAACATGCACATCAAGCCCATACAAGTTTGCATGCAAACACAAGCATGTATATATAAATACTCACATAGAGATACAGCAAAAAACTTGAGCAAACTATATGCAAGTTCAAACTGAAAAGATCATCAAATAACCTCTTTTTTTTTTTTAAGTATATAATATTTATATACGGCAAATAGAACAAATAAAATCACACACCCTCCAAATAACCTCTTTTCTTAGTAAGCATGATTAATTAGGCCTTATAGCTATACTATCAATCTAATATAGAATAATGAAATACAAGTAATACAATGGCACCAATAATAAGATAGTCTTTTGGATAATAAGACAAGTCTTTTGGATAATGGTGCCATAGATGCTATACAAGTAATATATAGCATCTACGATCTATCATCCCAATATAGCATCCATCACCTTGAACAGTATAAATCTTCACCATTCACTATAATTAACGGCATTTAAGACAACAATATTTACCATATCACCAAGACCAAGCATCATGAAGTCACTAGCCGTATTTCCAGGAACAACTCCACCTAATAAGTTCCTTGGGAACACAATCTTGACAGGCAACTCGAGCTTTTTTGTAATCAATTGCAATCCAGGAAGACTCAAAGAGTTGGCCACTGTATGAACAGGGTTAGAAGCTTGTTGTGTTGCTACTGCAACCATGACATTTGCACCAAAAAACCATTCTGAATAGAATACCCAGAATATGTCGTATACAAATAAGCAGACAAGGAGCATTGCACAAACTTTAATGTTGGGCAGACGAACATGGCTCACAAATGCAATACAAAGTGAAATGCCCAACAAATTGTTCAGTATCCAATGCCCCGAAACAAGCCATGCTACAACTGTACTGAAGCATAGGAACAGTAGAAGTGCCTGTATTCGAGTAAAAGACTTGGAGCAACAACGAGATACAAATGGGTCGGACAGACCAAATTGTGACTTGACATTGGCAATATAAGGCGAGAAGCAAAAATACAGAGATGATACAGAGGCAATTGCAGTGAAAGCAGTGAGTAGTTGTGAGACAGAAGAGAACAAGTAGAACATCATAAGCAGACTGCATGAGCTCATAACTGGTATCATGAGTGCTTGAGACCTGTCCAATGTAATTGATGCTTCAGACAGATCACGATTTTTTTCCATTTCTTTCCCGTAATTCAAAGCTCGGAAAGCAGAACCAAAAGTCACAGCTATGGCAGTCAAAATAAGAGTAACTGGAGCTGGCTCCATAAGAAACACAAGCTTCCATAAAGGCTCCATGTTTAAGTTACTGAACCACAACTACCAAAAACTGAAAGTCAACTGGGTCACCCGTGCATGTACACTGGACACAGGAACAGATTCAGAAGTTGAAGAAGCAAAACTGATTAGCTGCTAGAAGGTAAGACTAATTCACCTATGTGTCCTGAAATTAAGAGAAAAATAGCTGCAATTTATTAGGCAACTGACAGTTTAAAGACTACCATTGATAGATACTGGTTAATAAACATGATAATAAGATATCCACACATTTCACCATGTTCATCAGAATAGTTACTGCTAGGGGTATCATTACACATATAATTCTCAGGACTCTCCCAGACAAACTTGATGCTGACAAAACCATTCTCTTCGAATCATAAGATGTATATCTCAAATTTCTAGCAATCTGTATCACAATCATCCTAAAAACTTATAAATTACAATCATCCACTGCATTAACTATGTTTAAGTTAATGTTCTGCAAAGGGTAAATAGATATATAAAAGAATTCTTCTATGAATTCAGAACGAAACAGTAGAGACTATCCACATCCCTTACATTACTAATAACTATATAACAACAAATTTAAATATGTAGGGTTTAACACGGTTAGCATCATCCATTACTAATTACTCGTAACTAAAACCGTATTCAAATGTGACGAGTTTATCAGACTCGTGAAAGGAACAAAAGTGATCATATGTTCAATCATGTAGTACTGCTTGCTCAAATATGTATATACATCTTGACTCCCCTATATACCCAAAAAGATTTAAGTTTTCTACTAAAATCATAATCAATCAGTAATCAAAATTCAATGCAAATCGGATCCCATCTAAAGTTAACACCTAGGGCTCACAAATTGAATGACTGGGTATAGTAATTTGCACCTATCTACCAAGACAATATGATAGCAGTAACCAAATTACACCTGAAGCTACGATCAATGGCTACCAATGATGATTTACCATAATAAAATCCATCAATATAAAGTGAAACGAAACATAAATTACAGAAAACTACGACGATCTAGTAATTTTGCAAACCGGCGATTGGGGAATTAGGCATTTCTGTGAATCTGAATGAATTGCTTGAAAATTTGAAAAGGAGACTTACGTTAAACAGGAAGAACTTGAAATCTAGTCTTACGTTACGGAGTTGCCTGCACGAATTGTGAAAGCAGATGGAGAGAACTGTGCACCGAAAGCAATATCGTCAAATTTTGTCCCCCGTCTTCAAGGTTTTTTGTTTTGCTCTTTTTCTCTGATATTCATCTTTCTTTTAATTGCATCTAGGACCCTTAAGTTTGGTGTCTAGTACAAATAGGTCCCTTAAGTTTGGTGTCCAGTACAAATAGGACCCTTAAGTTTGGTGTCCAGTACAAATAGGACCCTTAAGAGTTAAGATGTCATCTTCTTTTTTTCTTATAACATGTTTCGTTATTGTTGGTTTAAGTGTAGCGAGATTATTTTATGTAATCTTAGCACGGATCCAAGACGGATCAACGGAAGAAGGGAAAAAAAAGCCAAAGACACAATTTTCGATCTTAGGAGTTGTTTATCAAATACTTACTCGGTAAACATTTATCGGTAAAATTTAACAATATTCTTTACTTATCGGGTAAGATTTTAGTTCACCAAAACGGTATCGTATGCAACATTTTACCCGGTAAACGCTTACCGTGGTAAGAGTCGTCACATTCACTTATCGGATATAACTCTTGGTTTAATTGTTCCCTCTTTTTCATTTAAATTATTGATTGTTTTAGAATTTTATTTCTACTATAAAGGTTTTCTTTTATTTTCTGAGTTTTTATGCTGGTAAACTCGTTATTTTTTGAGTTTAGATGCTTGTTGCTCATTCTATGTTTCCGATTGTGTTACAATCCTGTTGTTTTAATGATTCACAGATGAACCATGACATCATTGGTGTTTCTAACGATTTTATTGTGTTAGGATAAATCAACATCTGTTTTTAATATTTTATCTTTTCATTAACATCTAAATACTCAATTTTCATGTTATCAACTCAATACCTCTTGGTATTCTTTAATTATGTATATATATATATATATAATATAAGGGTTGGTTCAAATACTAACCAAGATTTTTGTGTTAACTTTGTTAACCAATCTTGGCCATTGATTCTTACAATAAAGGGTTGTGATTAATCATGATAAAAAAATTAAAATTTTAAATTTACAATTTCAAAAAACATATGTGAACAAAGGGGAAAATGGTATTTAGGTAATTTTCTTTTTTATGTAACTCCCATATCATTAATTGGGAGTTACAAAATCAAAAAATCTCATTATTTTTATTAATTTATTTTTGTTAATGTAAGAACCATATGAACACACACACACATATATATATATATATATATATATAT